CATGGGTTGTATCATGATGAGAAAGTGCCACTGTAAGTCTTTCGGTCAATGTTGCTGTTGATTTCGTTCTGACCGCGAGCCCTTTGCAGTGAACACTTGCCCTGTCGGTATCGCTACTCAAGACCCTCAGCTTCGGGCCAAGTTTGCCGGGCAGCCCGAGCAAATCATCAACTTCTTCTACTACCTTGCTGAAGACCTTCGTTCCTACATGGCCAAACTTGGGTTCCGCACTATCAACGAGATGGTCGGTCGCTCTGACATGCTGAAGGTCAACGAGAAGCTCCGCACTCCGAAGACCGCGCACCTCGACTTGTCGGCGATCCTCAAGCCCGCTTGGCAGATGCGCCCTGGTGCCGCCACTTACCGCGTGCGTGCCCAGGACCACAAGCTCTACATTCGTCTGGACAACAAGTTCATCGACGAGTCCGAGCCCGCGCTGACCAAGGGGCTGCCTGTCCACATCGAGTGCGAGGTCACCAACACCGACCGTGCTCTCGGTACATCGCTGTCTTATCGCGTCTCCAAGCTCTATGGCGAAGAAGGTCTTCCCCGCGACACGATCCATATCAGCATGAAGGGCTCCGCTGGTCAGTCTCTCGGCGCCTTCCTTGCTCCTGGTATCACCATCGAGCTGGAGGGTGACGCCAACGACTACGTCGGCAAGGGTCTCTCTGGCGGTCGTTTGGTCGTCTACCCTCCCAAGCAGTCCACATTCAAGGCCGAGGAGAACATCATCATCGGTAACGTGTGTCTCTACGGCGCTACGTCTGGTGAAGCCTTTGTCCGCGGTGTCGCTGCCGAGCGGTTCGCCGTCCGTAACTCGGGTGCCAACGCCGTCGTCGAGGGCACCGGTGATCACGGTTGTGAGTACATGACTGGCGGTCGCGTCGTCGTGCTCGGAACCACCGGTCGCAACTTCGCCGCTGGTATGTCTGGCGGTATTGCCTACGTCCTCGACACCGCCCACACTTTCGCCTCCAAGGTCAACCTGGAGATGGTGGAGCTTGGCAAGGTCACTGATCCTCGTGAGATCGCTGAGTTGCGTGGTCTCATCGAAGATCACCGTCACTTCACCCAGTCCGAGGTCGCTGATCGTGTCCTACACGACTTCCACCATCTCCTTCCTCTCTTCGTTCGCGTCATGCCATTGGACTACAAGCGTATTCTCGAAGAGCAAGCCGCCAAGGCGAAAGAGGAGAAGATGCGCCAGAGCGTCATCGATCTCATTCCCTCTCGTACAGCCAGCCAGGTTGATCTCGCCTCGGGAGAGATCGAAGATGTGCTTCGGGCTCACGAGCCACCTCCGACGCCTTCCATCCAGAACAGCCGCTCTTCCTCCAAGGCTCGCGTCGAAGCTTCTATGCTGGACATGGAGGACTCCCTGATAGACGATGCTACTACCCGGCAACGTGCGCAGAAGCTCGATAAGACTCGTGGATTCATGAAGTACAAGCGTCTCACCGAGGCATACCGGCCTCCCAGGAAGCGCGTCAAGGACTGGAAGGAGATCTCCCACCGCCTTACTGAATCTGAGCTCTCTTATCAGTCGGCGCGGTGCATGGACTGCGGTGTTCCTTTCTGCCAATCCGATTCTGGCTGTCCTGTCTCCAACGTCATTCCCAAGTGGAACGACCTCGTTTTCAAGGGTCAATGGCAGGACGCACTCAATCGTCTGCTCTTGACTAATAATTTCCCCGAGTTTACCGGCCGTGTGTGCCCAGCCCCATGCGAGGGTGCTTGCGTCTTGGGAATCAACGAGCAACCGGTTGGCATCAAGAGCATCGAGTGTGCAATCATCGACAAAGTAAGACTGTACCCTCATGGTCGTTTGGCGTTCCTGTGTTCACATTCTCCTTATAGGGTTTCGAGATGGGATGGATGGCACCCAATCCCCCACAGTTCCGCACTGGCAAGAGGATCGCGATTATTGGGTCCGGTCCTGCTGGTTTGGCTTGCGCTGACCAACTGAACAAGGCTGGACACACTGTGACAGTCTACGACCGTAATGACCGCATGGGTGGTCTCCTCATGTATGGGATTCCGAAGTATGTCCTATTTTCTCCCTGTTACGTCTGTATTGTGTTTCTCATGTCCTTCGTATTACAGCATGAAGCTAGACAAGGCCATCGTGCAGCGCAGACTGGACCTGATGGCTGCCGAAGGAGTGGTAAGTCCCAGGAATGCTTATTCGTCGGCATCCCTTTCTTACGATCACGCTCTAGACTTTCGTCTCCAACGCCAACGTTGGTGTGGATGTTGACGTTGCACAGCTCCGCGAAGAGAACGACGCCCTCGTTCTCTGCACCGGTGCCACTTGGCCTCGTGATCTGAAGATCCCCAACCGCAACACCGACGGCATCCACTTCGCCATGGAGTACCTCAAGATGAACACCAAATCTTTGCTTGACTCTGAGCTTCAGGACAGCAACTACATCAGTGCCAGGGGCAAGGACGTCATTGTCATCGGTGGTGGCGACACTGGAAACGACTGTATCGGAACTGCCATGCGTCACGGTGCCAAGTCTGTCACCAACTTTGAATTGCTCCCCAAACCTCCCGCTGCTCGTGGTCGGGACAACCCCTGGCCACAATGGCCAAGGATCTTCAGGACTGACTACGGTCACACCGAGGTTGCCGCTCACTTCGGAAACGGTAAAGTTGTTCTTACTTGGCGCAAGTTTGATTGCTGACCCGTGTCGTACTAGATCCTCGCGAGTACTGCATCTCTACCAAGGACTTCGTCCTCGACGAGGAGGGTTCGCTCAAGGGTCTCAACACCGTACGCGTCGAGTGGACTAAAGACAGCGGAGGTCGCTGGAAGATGGAAGAAGTTCCCGGCTCTGAGAAATTCTTCCCTGCTCAGCTCGTCTTCCTCGCCCTCGGTTTCTTGGGCCCCGAAGCAGAGGCCGTGAAGAACCTCGGTGTCAAGCAGGATGCAAGGACCAACATCCAGACTCCGCCGAAGGTGCGTTGCGCTTCTTCTTGCTGCGCATCGATCGTAAAGGCTAATTATAACACTAGAAATACTCCACGAACGTCGAGGGTGTCTTCGCTGCTGGTGACTGTCGTCGTGGCCAGTCTTTGATCGTCTGGGGTATCAACGAGGGTCGCGGAGCTGCGGCCGAAGTAGACTCGTGGCTCATGGGTGCCACTAGATTGCCCAGTGACGGCGGTATCAAGCAGAGGGTGAGTAACAGTTGTTCAGTACGCAGGAGAGGAGTCTGACTGTCTCGCCAGGTGTATATCCCACCCACGAGCAACTTGTCCCCCAATACGACCGTAGAAGTCTTCGCATAAGGCCAGTCTACAAGGAATCTAGGAATTGGAATATCTCTCAAGAATACTGAACGCATTCACGTCTTTCCTCATGTTTATTATGTCTATCATGTATCTCACGCACGCTCAACCGCCATCCGTATTGCTGTATTGGTTACTATCATTGTCCCAGTATATCATATGGAATGTATCATTAGCTATCCCCCAATATACTATCTTTCCATCCGTACGAAAACTGCGCATGGAAATAGGGCAACACGAAATGGGTGGATATATGCCGGCAGAAAGGATGTAAAATACAGCATCTAGATAGACGTAACTTACAAAACGGGAAAGATGTGGAATGATGTAGCAAAGAGTCCTCCAAGATCCCCAAGATAGTCTGATCACGAACTGCAACATAGAATCACTCTTCATAAATGCGCACCCCTCCCTTCCCCCACTTCTCCAATACCGCCTTTCCGGCGCCGGTAGGTTGGCTGAACGCGACTTCACCCTTACTCGGGTTCAGAGGGCAGCCCAAGATGAAGTGCTGAGCGGCCGCAGTCAGCAACCGCGACGCGATCCCGATGCGACGGTGTGTAGACGAAACGAAGAGGCGGGGGATGCCCATGGGTGTCGGGTCGGGAGTGGCGCCGGGTCGACGTAGAGGTTGGTCGCTTCGTCCACGGGGATGTGATGTACTTGGGTGGCGCGGTCGCGTCGGCTGCTACTGCGGCCCCGGTGCTTGGGTCGGAAGGAAGGGCATCGGCGGGCGCGATGGCCATGGCGGTGTTGATCCTCTGGGCTATCGCGCAGCCTACAATCTTCTCTCGTGAAGTGGACGATGTCTTCGACGTGGTTGTTAGGAGGAAGAGATAGACTTTGGATGCTTGCAGTGCGGAGGGTGATAGTGCAGGTGCGGACAGTGTCAGATTGATAGTGTCTAACAAGGTATTCACCTGAAACGAGTCGATAGTCAGCCAAAAGAAAGACCCTACTGCAGCGAGCTACATACCTTGGCACCAATCTTTCCTCCAACCTCCGCTCTGAAGCATACAATTCTGCCCCTCATCCCATTCCGCAGCCGTATATCGCTGACAACCTCTTCGACGTTCGCTTTCGCGCATTCTCGCTCTTCTTCCTTCCCCCACTCCAAGCCTCTCTGAACGCGTGCACAATGAGACCGATGCAGACTCTCATCGTCCGGAGCGCCTTTCGTGTAAGTCAGGTCGCAGAGAGCGCATGTCCTCAAGACGGTAGTCTCCAGCGCGAAATGTAGTTGCGTGAGTTGCTTCTGCTTCTTCTCTTTTTCCTTGCTCTTGGCGGAGGACGATACTTTGCTCGTCACCCGATGTTTCTTCGTAGGAGGGGCATTGTGAAAAGAAAGCGAATCGACCAGCGTCCGCTTTCGCTTTACAACGGGAGGTGACGGTGCCAAGTCTGAGGGAGGTGAAGAGGATCTGTTAGTGAGAATGGGGCGAGTGCCGTACGTCTTCTTGACGTTGGAGGTCATGCTGTGATAGCGAAGCTGAAGAAAATTTGGAGAGACGCGAGCACGAGGATATCAGCTATGGCGGTGAAAGGAGAGACGGATCAAGCAGGCTGAGCAAACACGCGTCGGACGCGTTCCACGGACTGACGCGTTGATTTGTTGGGTGTTATTTGCGCGGCGCGTGAGCGCGTTTACTCGTGCTGGGAGGGGCGGATCTCGTTCTGATCTGCTGAGCAGCTCTCTTTCCCAAGGCCTTATAGCTCAGTGGTAGAGCATGCGATTGCAGTTGGCTCATCGTGGTCCGAACACGATTGTTGCTTACGTCAGCAACCATCGCAGGGTCCCGAGCTCGAATCTCGGTGGGGCCTTGTTTTTATCTAGCGCGACGCGTCGGGCGCTTCCGTGTGATCGCCTCTTGTACCGCGACGACCACCACGATCTTGAACACACCAGCTTCATTTCTTGAAACGTTTACCGACGCGAGCAACATGACAGGAAAACGCAAAGAGTCGTCTGAAGAAGACACTAGCGCGAAGGTCGTGAAACGCGTCAAGAAAGCGGAAGCGGAGAAGAGGTAAGGCGTTGGAACGAACAGATCTCGTTCTGCGCGCTTTGGAAGTCATTGACCCGAGTTAGTCCTTGGCAACGTCTTCAAAAGCCAGCTGTCCTCGCGCTGTGCCAATTCATCTTTGAACTCGCCGACGCTGCTCGAACGGCTCAGATCACCCCGCCGGGAGACCCATCCGTCACGACGACTCACTCGACGACGACCCATTCGACCGCTGCGACGTCGGATGTTCCTGCGAGGGCTTCGGTCGGTGTGCCAGACGTTGTAGGCTATGGTACGTGCGCATATAGCCAGCTTTCTGTCGCGTAAGCCCCTGAATAGACTGGTCGTGCAGAGTACAACGCAGGCTCGGGACAGGGTGGCTGCGTCTTGGCGGGAGCAGGCGGCGGCGCGATGATTCAATGGGGGTCCGAGGTGCCAAGGCAGACAGATGAAGTGTAGACACAATAGATTCGCAAAGAGAGCAAAGTACAGGAGGTAATAGCAAGGCGACGTTAATTCGGTTTTTTCGTTTGAGCAACATTGCGAAAGGGCAGAGTCTCACCAAGCTCGGACTGCCGAGATACCAGAGATTGGACAGTACGGACAGCCCCAATGAGCTCTGCGTTCGTACGATCAGGGGCGCCTCCGTGCTATCGAGAAAGAGTCAGGGAGACGGTCACAGGTGGGTGAGAAAAGAATGCTTACAGCGCGAACGACATCAACGAAACCTTCCGCGGGCCAAGTAGGAAACTGGGAGAGGACGTCGCGCAACATCTGTTCATCGGCCTCGTCTACTGCCTTGGATGACACACGGAGTCCTGGGAGGACAGCGGTAGGTGCTGGAGCAGCTGTATGAGATGAAGAACTTGCGATCGGTCGGGGTTCCGTGAGCGGGAGATGGACTGCTGTGGGAGCAAGAGCGTCTTCAGGCTCTGGAGGCGAGGGCGGTGAAGGAGATGGAGCACGAGACAAGGCTGGACAAAACCATGAGACAAAGGGTTGGATTGCACGGCAGGAGACGTACCGGGCTTGTCTGAGGGCGAATCCGAACGCAGCCTCTGCCGCTGTTCAATGTTGAGCTTACTGACGGGGTCTTGATAGTTCTGCGCTTGATGGTGCTCATACATGGCCGCATATATGTGCGCGTTGACGCAGTCGGTACGGCAATGCTGCTTGACCTTCTTGATGCTCTTGTTGCTGGATGAAGACCTGATCAGTAGGGTGGCAGCGCGCACAATGACGGGGAGACTGACGTGTAATCGTGCGAGGGACAAGAGAAAAGGTACCGATTGTCAGTAACCATCTCGAGCTCCAGGGCATGCCAGGGTGTGTGTGTGCGTTTGCTGAGGAATGGAACGTGAGTGACGGTGAACGGTGGTTGTTGCGAGAACTTACCGATGCTTGATGAGCGCGGGCAGGTCTGCGTACTCGAACGTCGCGAGTCGGTTGTTGTGAGCGTGTTTGGCACAGTCGTGACATACCCAGACGTCACCGTCCTCGGTGTACTGAGACTGGAGAGCTTGGCGGGCATAGAGCCTACCTGCGATGACGCGGATGAGTTGCATGCGGAGTAAGGTGGGGGGCAAACGCAGGACGTCGGGTTCGTCTCGTTCTTCCATAGGCAATGAGAGGACATGCGCTTGAACGGGAGTCGAGGTCGACGTGCTGGAAGAAGCGGCAGGCAAGACGTTGGAGAGGAAGAACGGGCCGTGGCCGACGATGTCCGTGTCGGTGTCGGAGGTGTGAGATGCGGGTTGCTTGCCTTTCGCTTTGGCTGATGGCTTCTTGCCACCGGGATTGTCTAGAAAACTCTGCAGTGAGCAGTCAATGTGGGTGTTGCTGTACTCTCCGGCGGCCTTGGACACCAACTTGAGGAGTTTGTCCGCGGAGGAGCCGTCCTCGGTGACGTCTTCCTGGGAGGGTTGCGCGTTGTGATGCGCGGCCGCTTCGTCGAGAGCATCCCGCCACGTGTCCCAGCGGTCTGAGGCCAAGTTGGTTTCTTCTACCGGCGCGAAAAGAGCAGGGTCCAATGGGAAGTCGTACTCGGGAGCTGCAGGCTGCTTCGACACGTTCAGCGCGCTGGGTGGAGAGGGAAAGACGTCCACGCTCGACGACGGTGCTGCGGATGCTGTGGAAGTCGTGTGAGTATGTATGTACCAAGGAGACGGATGGCCTTACCTGGGGGTGCCAAGAGACTGGTGAGTATCGCGCCGGGAAGCTCTTTGAGCTGTTCGACGGCTTTCAGACGGTTCTGGTGCGTGTTGGCTTCACGCGCAGGATCGACGAAGGATGTCGCAGCACCCTTGTCTTGTGCAGCCTGCAGCTTGCGCCTGAGCTTCCGACAGAGACTGACTCTGTCATCGAAGAGCGCCTTGAGCACCCCGCGCGCCTACGATGGATCGACATGAGTACATGTACGAGACAGCTTTGCAGGAGTGTCGCGTACCTGAGAAGCTTCGTCACTGCCCGGGTTGCGATGCTTGCGTTCATTGAGTATTCGAGTGGCCGAGACGGCGCAGATCTTGTAGTCGGACAACGCGGGCTTGCGGGGGTCTTCTTTGAAGAATGTGAGGAACTCGTCCCACACCTCCTTGATATGCTTGTCGATGGAGACGACCTCGGGATCGTTCTACTCGGAGGATTCAGAAGAAGAACGCGCGGAGCATGAGCACGATCATACCTCGATGCCGCTGAAAGCATCTTGCGATAGACGGGTCTTGCGCTTGACGGAGACAACGGAGCCGGGATGCGCGAACGAACGGAGGGTATCGTCGAACACGTTGCGGTCGATCATGGCATCGACGACGACGGAGACGATCGTGTGCTGAGAGAGTGCTTTCTGTGGGAACGGATGAGAAGACGCGTGTGACCGAAGAATAGAAGCCGCACCTGCTGGATTTCAGTCAGGTTGGCGTCCAGTTCACCGAGGCGGACGCCTACGGGAGGGATGTTGTGTGTGTTACGCGAGTAGTGTTCGTCGAACGTGGAGCTGCCAGCGCCGCGATGGACGCTGATATGGTGGGCAGCGATGTGCCCCATTTTCAACGAGAACTGCGTGGACGTCAGCGAGAACGACGAAGGGGGCTGCTACGGGCACGTACATCGTTGGAGCAGTCGCGTCGGAGCATGGTCGCGCCGCCTGCGGGGAGACCGACCCTCTGGGAAGCGCGGCTGATGGATTCACTCAGATTTTGAGACATGGCGGGCTCGTCTGAGAGCTTGCTGCCACTGTTGCATGTGCTGAGAATGCTGTGATGGGACAGTGAGACACAGCGCAGGGGACACATGTACGAAGGACGCACAGCGGCTGTTTGCACATTTCAGGACGGATGACGAGACGAGCGCCCTTGTGATTCATGAGTTCGTCGATGGACTGCGCCCGACGTGTCAGTGCGGTGAGCGGCTCTGCGGGAGGGAGAGACATGCCTGTTGCTCAAACGCGCCACGAAGAAAGAAGAACAGCACCAGCCACATGGCGAGATCGAGGATGACGTTGTGACCCTTGGTGACGGGATCGATGCGGTACCAGCGCGATCGGGAGGCGGCGGAGTCGTTGTAGCCCTTGTAATGCTTGCCGTTGAAGTCGATCATAAAGTCCCAGTTCTCCTGGTGCCAGATGACGAAGTCTTCCAAGACCATGTACTGTGGAGGTAGTCAGTACGGACGGAGACGTCGGGAGACACCGAGACATACCTTGCGGTCCTGTTTGTATTCCACATGACCCGGTCCAATCGAGCCGGGACGCAGACCGGTGTAGAAGAAGATGAGGATGAGGACGATGCGCTGGATCTCGACGAGGTAGTTGTCGATGGAGGCGTGAGGCTGGAGGACTTGCAGCCCGCCGAGGATCATGAGGGTGACGGCGTCCTGGCCGAAATAGTTCTTGGGCCGGCCGTAGCGGTTGAGGTCGTACGTGCGAATGACTGGAGAGAGTGAGATGGATACACGAAAGGACGAGACGAACGTACGGTGCTTGGCGGTGTCGTGGAGCTTCTGGAACAACTTGCCCTTGACGAGGAGACGCATGCCGTCGGCGAAGCCTTGATCGCATTTGGTGTATTGGATGATGCAGAAGAGGAGGGTGGTGAGGTCGCCCATGAGCGTCTTTGCCCGGATGTGCTCGCTGTCCTGGCCGCGCGCGTACAAGACCTGGGGGTGACGGGTGAGCGGAAGCGTGTCGGAGAAGGGGTCTCGGGGACTTACACGCCACACGAGGTACACTGGGGCATACTCGTACACGACGGAAGACTCCCAGAGCTGGTCGTCGGAAATGTCGGGGCGGTAATGACGGACGACGGTGGCATAATCACGGGCGCAGACGTTGCGCTTCTTGGCGCTGTGCGGATTGGCTCGCGTCACGACCTGTTTGACCATGTTCTTGGCCTCGGCGATTGCACGATCGAATCCCTCGGCATCGCTTGCCTGTGCTTGCTTGACGCGTGTGGCGAAATGCGATCGGGAAGTGGACGGGGTCGGGAGGGCGGCCTTGTCTGCCTCGGAGACGTCGAAGAGCACTCGAGGACGCGGGTGGGACCTAAGGGGAAGGGGTGAGGGGCAACGCGGTGGGCGAGACATCCGACACGTACTGTGCGGGCTGGGGTGCAGACGAG